GTATGGTGGCTCATACCTGTAATCCCAACACTGTGAAGGATGGAGGCAGGAGGATTGCTTGAGCCACGAGTTCAAGATCAGCCTGAGCAACATATTGAGACTCTGTCTCTATAAAAATTAAAAATTAGCCAGGTCTGATGGCACACCTATAGTCCCAGCCACATGGGATGCTGAGATGAGAGGATCACTTGAGCTTGGGAGGTCAAGGCTACAGTGAGCTGTGATTATGCCACTGCACTCCAGTCTAGGTGACAGAGCAACACCCTGTCCAAAAAAAAAACAAAAAAACCCCACAGTAGGGGGTCGGGGCACTGTGGCTCATGCCTGTCATCCCAGCACTTTGGGAGGCCAGGTTAGGTGGAGTTCAAGAGTTTGAGACCAGCTTTGGCAACATGGCAAAACCCTATCTCTACAAAAGATACAAAAAAACAAGCTGGGTGTGGTGGCATGTATCTTTAGTCCCAGCCACTTGGGAGGCTGAGGTGGGAGGATGGCTTGAGTCCAGGAAGTTGAGGCTGCAATGAGCCATGATTGCACCACTGTACTTCAACCTGGGCGACAGACTGAGACCCTGTCTCCAAAAAAAGAAAAAAAAGCAGAGGAAGGAGTGAAATTAACATGGCCAAACTCCGTAGCTAATAAAGTGGCAAAAGGAGGGATGTAACACCCTGATTCTCTGACTGCAAGGTTTGTGCCACCTTTCAGTTTCCAGGGGCTGTGAGGGCCCAGTAGTCTCAGCTTACACGGGCGTTCTAATGAGGACAGAAGGAAAATGAATGCAAAAAGGTTGTGCCAGCAAGGACTTAATGAGAACCTGCTGTGGTGGCTCTGGCTGAGCTGCAAGAGCTTCAGCACTTGCTAATGGAGCCATGGGTTTGGCATCAACCCTGCATACAGCAAGTGGACTGGACCTTCCATCAAGCCTACAAATCTGTCCTTTATCAATTAATTAAACATTTGCTGAGCCAGGACCTGTATTAGACCTAATAGACTCTGGCACTACAGTCGGGGAGGAGTAGCTGACTACTGATTATGCACCTACTAGGTGCCACCATTCCTTCCTGTGTATGCTGCCTCTGTTATCACAATGATCCTGTGAGGAAAACAGTCATGGCCCCATTTTTAAATAAATAAAATACAAAATGAGAACTTAAGGTACCATAGTGTCTGCAGAAATAAATTTTTAAAAACTGTTTTAATGAAAATGAGAAAACTGAAGCACAGACAGATGAAGAACTTGCCTAAGGTCACGGAATCAGTGAGCAGTGGTGCTGTGTATTGGCCTGACTCCAAAACACATGTTCTTAGTCACATTTACCATCTCACATACTGACACACATACCCAGTTAGGCCTCTGAAGCAAAGCCAACCTCCAAAACAAAAGATGCCTGAACCAAGGCCACAGAAATTTCTGGTTTTTAAATTTTTATTTATTTTTAATTTTATTTTTATTTTTATTTTTGAGATGGAGTCTTGCTGTGTTGCCTAGGCTGGTGTGCAGTGGCATGATCTTGGCTCACTGCAGCCTCAACCTCCCAGGTTCAAGCATTCCTCCCATCTCAGCCTCCCAAGCAGCTGTGACTACAGATGTGCACCACCACACCCAGCTAATTTTTTGTAGTTTTTTGGTAGAGATGGAGTTTTGCCATGTTGCCCAGGCTGGTCTCAAACTCCTGAGCTCAATCAGTCTGCCTTTGCCTCCCAAAGTGCAGGATTACAGCATGAGCCACCTCGCCCAGCCCCCTGAACTTCTCTATGATGTCTATCATCTCAGCTCTTCGAAGACTAAGGAAAGTTCCAGCCACCAAAATTTTATATCACCATTTCTCAAGCACAGAGTCTTGGGTTGGGGCCTCAGAATATGCATTTAAGAAGCAGCAGCTCAAGTGTTATGGACTAAATGTTTGTATCCCCTCAAAATTCTTATGCTGAAATCCTAAGCCCCAATGTGATGGTATTAGGAAGTGGGCCTCTGGAGGTAATTGGGTCATGTGGGTGGAGGCTTCATGAATAGGATTCTCTTTCATAAGATAAGTGAGAGTTTGCTCTTGCTTCCTGGTCTCCACCATGTGAGGAAATGAGAAGACAGCAGTCTGCAAACAAGGAAGAGGGCCCTCACCAGACACAGGATCTGCCCTCACCTTGATCTTGGACTTCCAGCCTCTGGAACTGTGAGACTTAAATGTTTGTTGCCTAAGCCACCCAGTCTATGGTAAGTTGTTACGGCAGCCTGAACTGACTGAGACACTGAACAATTCTTTTTTTTTTTTAAGGTGGAGTCTCATACTGTCACCCAGGCTCGAGTTCAGTGGTTCGATTGATCGCAGCTCATGCAACCTCCCACTCCCGGGTTCATATGATTCTCCTGCCTCAGCCTCCTGCCTCTCATGGCTCACCTGTAGCTGGGACTACAGGCAGGTGTGCACCACCAAATTTTGTATTTTAGTAGAGGCAGGGTTTCCCCATGTTGGCCAGGCTGGTCTTGAACTCCTGACCTCAGGTGATCCATCTCCGTTGGCCTCCCAATGTGCTGGATTACAGGCATAAGCCACTGTGCCTGGCCTGACACTAAGCAATTCTTTTTTTTTTGAAATGGAGTCTTGCTCTGTCACCCAGACTGGAATGCAGTGGCATGATCTTGGCTCATCACAACCTCTGCTTCCCTGGCTCAAGCGATTCTCCTGCCTCAGCCTCCCAAGTAGCTGGGATTATAGGCATGTATCACTACCACCCGATTAATTTTTGTATTTTTAGTAGAGACGAGGTTTCACCATGTTGGCCAGGCTGGTCTTGAACTCCTGACCTCAAATGATCCATTTGCCTTGGCCTCTCAAAGTGCTGGGACTACAGGTGTGAGCCACCGCACCTGGCTGACACTAAGCAATTCTTAAAATGTACACTGGCTGTGCGCAGTGGCTCACACCAGTAATCCCAGCACTTTGGGAGGCTGAGGCAGGCAGATCGCGAGGTCAAGTGAATAAGACCATCCTGGCCAACATGATGAAACCCCATCACTACTAAAAATATAAAAATTAGCTGGGTGTGGTGGTGTGTGCATGTAGTGAGGCAGGAGAATTGCTAGAATCTGGGAGGTGGAGGTTGCAGTGAGCTGAGATTGCGCCACTGTACTCCAGTCTGGCGACAGAGTGCGACTCCGTCTCAAAAAAAACCAGAACAAAAAAATGCATACACTGAAGTTTGAGAACTGCTCCAGAGAATTTGCCACAGTGGAATAGCTCTTCACGTCAGGACCCTGGGTCAGGGCTGGGAAGCTTGTAGATTTAGTAGTAAGCAAATACTCGCATGGCCTCCCACTCTGTGTCACTGACTAAGACAGACATGGTAGGCTGGGCACAGTGGCTCACAGCTATAATCCCAGAATTTTGGGAGGCTGAGGTGGGAGATCGCTTGAGTCCAGGAGGTCGAGACTAGCCATAGCAACATAGTGAGACCTTGTCTCCAAAAAATAAAATATTAGGCCAGGTGCAGTGGTTCACGCCTGTAATTCCAACACTTTGGGAGGCCGAGGCAGGCGGATCACCTATGGTAAGGAGTTTGAAACCAACCTGACCAACATGAAGAAACCCCGTCTTTACTTAAAATACAAAATTAGCAAAGTGTAGTGGTGCATGCCTGTAAGCCCAGCTACTTAGGAGGCTGAGGCAGGAGAATAGCTTGAACCTGAGAGGCAAACGTTGTGGTGAGCTGAGATCGCGTCACTGCACTCCAGCCTGGGCAACAAGAGTGAAATTTCATCTAAAAATAAAATAAAATAAATAAAATGTTAGTTGGGCATGGTGGCATGCACCTGTAGTTCTAACCACTCAGGAGGCTGAAGTGGGAAGACTGCTGGAGCTCGGGGAGGTTGAGGCTGCAGTGAGCCAAGACTGTACCACTGAAAGAGCAAGACTCTGTCTCAAAAAAAAGGAAAGAGAGAGAGACAGAGAGACAGAGAGAGGAGAGAGAGAGAGAGAGCGCGCGAGTCCTTGCCCTCACGAAGCTTTCATCTAGTAGGGAGGCAGTTATCAAATAACTGCACGAATAATTCTTAAAGTATAGGGTTTTGGGCCCTACTAAAGAAATACGGTTGAACAGGTCAAAGGTAGGATCTGGAAACAGGTACTCTTTTGTAGGCCTCCCCCAATAAATTCGATGAGCAGCCTGGTTTGAGAATGCTTAGTGTAGTGGAAAAAGCATGTGTGACCTTTGGAATGAGACCCAGGTTCGAATCCTGCCTCTACTATTTCCACACCTCTTTGAGCCTTAGTTTCTTCATTGGTAAATGGGAATTATGACACTCCACAGGAATTCTTACCAAGATTCAATGACAGAAGGGGAGCCACATTTTAGTGTTCTTCCTTCTTTCCCTCTAAATGTGGAATGAAAGGAAAACATTTTCTTTTTACTGATGGGAATACAGGCTTTAGGGTCACAAGCTAAGAACTATTTTGAGGTTAGCGAGTCCTTCCTGATAACTCAATTTTTAAATTTCTTTTCTTCTTGAAACAGTCTTGCTCTGTCACCCAGGCTGGAGTGCAGTGTGGCACAATCTCAGCTCACCACAACCTCCACCTCCCAGGTTCAAGCGATTCTCTTACCTCAGCCTTCTGAGTAGCTGGGATTACAGGCGCATGTTACCACACCCAGCTAATTTTTGTATTTTTAGTAGAGACAGGGTTTCACCATGTTGATCAGACTGGTCTCCAACTCCTGACCTCATGATCAGCCCGCTTTGGCCTCCTGAAGTGTTGGGATTACAGGAGTGAGCCACCACACCCAGCCATCTGATAACTGAAATCTTAGTCCCTGCTTCCCCAGACAGAGTTAGTTTGGCTTTTCTGTTTTGGGGCCCCATTCTTATTTTTTCAGGTCCCTTAGACTATAGCTCCCAACAACCACTAAAAAGGAAATCTAATTTCTTCTTAGGGTCACAAACTCAAATACCAGGGGTTTGGTATGTGACAGCAGGCACTGATGGGAACAGAAAGAAAAGAAAGTGATTCACGCAGCTTCACTTTATTGCTTCTAGGTAGAAGACAGAGCCCAGTGTTGCCACCTCTTCTGGATTTAAAGAAAAAGGCTGATGGGTACAGTGGCTCATGCCTGTAATCCCAGAACTTTGGAGACCAAGGCAGGTGGGTCACTTAAGGTCAGGAGTTTGAGATCGGCTGCCAACATGGTAAAACTGCATCTGTACCAAAATATACAAAAATTAGCCAGGCATGGTGGCATGAGCCTGCAGTCCCAGCTACTTGGGCGGCTGAGGTAGGAAAATCACTTGAACCTGGGAAGCAAAGGTTGTAGTGAGCTGAGGATGGCCCACTGCACTCTAGCCTGGGTGACAAAGTGAGACCCTGTCTCAAAAAAAAGAAAGAAAGAAAAAAAAAAGAATAGGTTTGATAGTTGTTCTCAACTAGAGGTGACTTTGTCACCAGTAAGACACTTGGCAATGTCTGGAGACATTCTGGTTGTCACAATTGTGGGGGAGCTATGGGGATCTAGTGGGCAGAGGCCAGGGATGCTGATACCCATGCTACAATGCACAAGACCATGCCCCTCCCCCAACAAAGAATTATCTGGCCGAACATGTAAACAGGGGCAAGGTTGAGAAACCTTGGACATGGTTCTGTTGCAGCAACAGCCACCAAATCTCAGTGGCTTGCAACAACAGAGGTCTCACCGCCTGTCCATTATGGGTCTGATACAGATCTGCTTTATGTCGTCCTCACTGAGGGACCCAGGCTAAGGGAGATGCCATCCCTATGCTTGTAAAATTTTCAAGACAAGTGGAGAATATCAATATATTATTAACATTAATTATAATAATAAAAATATAATTTTTTTTGAGACATAGTTTCGCTCGTTACCCAGGCTGGAGTGCAATGGTGCGATCTTGGCTCACCACAACCTCCGCCTCCTGGGTTCAGGCAATTCTCCTGCCTCAGCCTCCTGAGTAGCTGGGATTACAGGCACGCGCCACCATGCCCAGCTAATTCTTTGTATTTTTAGTAGAGAAGGGGTTTCACCATGTTGACCAGGATGGTCTTGATATCTTGACCTCGTGATCCACCTGCCTTGGCCTCCCAAAGTGCTGGGATTACAGGTGTGAGCCACCGCGCCCGGCCTAAAAATATAATATTAATTACAATATTGATACAACTAAGTTATGTCTAGAAGTGACATCTGTCATTTCCATCATATTTCATTGGCTGTATCTAAATTCATGGGGGCGAGGAAGCACAATCCATCCATGTGCCTGGATGCAGAGAATTGGGAATATTTGCTAATAGTATTAGAGACTCCAAAGGTTGGGTGCACCAAAACCTCAGAAATCACCACTAAAGAACTTATTCATGTGATCAAACACCCCCTGTTCCCCAAAAACCTACTGGGAAAAAAATTTAAATCCTGAAAAAAATGTATGCTGACAGGAAAAAAAAAAAAAAAAAAAAGACTCCAAAGGTAATCATGACAGCCTGGGCTCTAGATAATCCACAAGGCTTGGAGCAGGGCAGCTATTGGCACAGACTGTGGACTCAGACTCGGCTTCAAACCCCACACTTTCTAGGCGTGTGGCCTTGAGCAAGTCACTTAATCTGTTTCTCAGTTTCTTCCTCAAAAAATAAGGAAAATAAATCAACCTTGCAGTGTTAAAACATGTACAGTGCTGGCTGGGTGTGGTGGCTCACACCTGTAATCCAAGCACTTTGGAGGCCAAGGCAGGTGGATCACCTGAGGTCAGGAGTTCAAGACCAGGCTGACCAACATGGTGAAATCCTGTCTTAAAAAACAACAACAACAACAACAACAACAAAATGTACAGTGCTTAGTACAGTGCCTGGCATACAGAAAGCACTCAGGACAGTTAGCCAGGATGAGATGATGATGATGAATTAGCAAGGCGCCAATCACAGAGTGGGCATTTAGTAAATAGTTGTTATAACCTAAGCTTTGAGGAAAACGATTTGCCCAAGGTAACACAGCTGGTAAGTGCAGCATGGTGGTAAAGAACCTAAGCTCTGGGGTCTAAGCCTGGCATATTGTATATCATAAATGTCAAATAATATCTGGAGGAGGTTCTGTGTGGTTAATAACATGGACTTGACAGCTTGCACCTATAATCCCAGAACTTTGGGAGGCTAACACGGGCGGATCCCTTGATCCCAGGAGTTTGAGACCAGCCTTGGCAATATGGCAAAACTCTGACTCTACAAAATATACAAAAATTAGGCATGGTGGTGTGTGCCTGTAATCCCAGCTACTTGAGAGTCTGAGGTAGGAGGATCACTTGAGCCCAGGGGGTGTCAAGGCTGCAGTGAGCCAAGATCACAACAATGCACTCCGGTCTGGGTGACAGAGCAAGACCTTGTCTCAAAAAATAAATAAATAAAAATAACATGGACTCTGGAGGCTGACTGCCAGGTTCAAATCCTAGTTCTTCTACTAACCACCTGTATGAACTTGAGCAAGTAACTCAGCCTCTCTGTGTCCCAGTGTTCTCATTTATAAAATGAAGATAATAAAACACCTACAATTATGAAGATTAAAAAATAACATAAGCCCTCAGGACCCATATGGTTGTTAGCTGCTACATTATTACTATGCCCTCAGTTTGCTACAAAGAAGCATTCAAAAGTAACAGAAAACAGTTAACACTTAGTATCATTTCACTCAGCCCAACTGAGGTAGAAGAAAATGGATACAAATTCAGCAATCCTTGAGCTAAGGAAATGTTTACAACCAGCGGTGGTTGCTCAGGCCTGTAGTCCCAGCACTTTGGGAGGCTGAGTCCAGCAGATCACTTGAGTGACCAGCCTGGGCAATGTGATGAAACCCCATATCTACAAAAAATACAAAAATTAGCTGGGCATGGCTACTCAGGAGGCTGAAGTGGGAGGACTGGTTGAGCCCAGGAGGTAGAGGCTGCAGCGAGGCAAGATTGTGCCACTGCACTCGAGCCTGGATGGCAGAGTGAGGCTCTACCTATTACCAAAAAAAAAAAAAAAGTTTCTAAATGAAGCAATGGGAAAAAGAAAAATCTTGGACACTTTTCTTACCTGTCCCAGTGTAGTCCTAGAAATCAGTGAGAATTCCCATTTGTCCTCAGAGATTCCTGTAACATAGGAGTGCAAGAGTGGGGACAGTAAGCAGAGGCACAAGGCATTACTTCCAAATCACAGCTAAGCCTCCCCGGCAATCCTGGCCGGCTCCTTCCAAACCCAACCAGATGGGGGCGTTGAGCTGACAGTCTTGCTGCTGGCAACAGTGTGAGGCAGGTGTGAGGGCACAGTAGAGATGCTCCTCCACTTGTCAAGGAGCATGCTGAATTCTTATCACTTTTGCACCACAGTAAAGTCACAAAGTCATAAGTTGAACTGTCATAAACTGGGGATTATCTGCATTCCCCTCATTATCTGAGGGGGATATGTTCCAAGACTCCCAGGGGATGACTGAATGAATAGTACTGAACCATATATGCACAGTACTATGTTTTTTTCCTATACATACATTCCTTTTTTTTTTTTTTTTTTTTTTAAAGATGGGGTTTCAACGTGTTGGTCAGGCTGGTCTTGAACTCCCGACCTCAGGTGATCCACCCACCTTGGCCTCCAAAGTGCTTGGATTACAGGTGTGAGCCACCACACCCAGCCTTCCTATACATACATTCCTATGGTTGTGTTTAATTTATAAATTAGGCACAATCAGAGATTAACAACTAGGGCTAGGTACAGTGGCTCACGCCTGTAATCCCAGCACTTTGGGAGGCCAAGGTAGATGGATCACCTGAGGTCAGGAGTTCGAGACCAGCCTAGCCAACATGGTGAAACCCCATCTCCACTAAAAATACAAAAATTAGCCAGGCATGGAGATGCGTGCCTGTTATCCCAGCAAGTAGCGGGGCTGAGGCAGGAGGATCGCTTGAACCTGGGAGGCGGAGGTTGCAGTGAGCTGAGATCATGCCACTGCACTCCAGCCTGGACAACAGAGTAAGACTCTGTTTCAAAAAAAATAAATAAATAAAAGAGAGATTAACAACGAATAATAAAATAGAACAAATATAGCAATATGATATAATAAAGTTATCATGCACTGTGGTCATAACTTTTGCAGTTTCTGTTTTTTTTTGAGACGGAGTTTTGTTCGCTCTTTGTTACCCAGGCTGGAGTGCAATGGTGCAATCTCAGCTCACCGCAACCTCCGCCTCCTGGGTTCAAGCGATTCTCCTGCCTCAACCTTTTGAGTAGCTGGGACTACAGGCTCACTTTACAGGCGCGCGCCACCATGCCCAGCTAATTTTTTTTTTTTTTTTGTATTTTTAGTAGAGACGGTGTTTCACCTTGTTGACCAGGATGGTCTCTATCTCTTGACCTCGTGATCCACCCGCCTCGGCCTCCCAAAGTGCTGGGATTATAGGCGTGAGACGCTGCGCCCAGCCTAACTTTTGCAGTTTCATGTGTGGCAGCAAAACTAGCAGGTATTTCTTTTTTCTTCTTCATAATTTCACAGACAGAAGATTCATTCTTACCACAGATCTCAGCGACCTCAGTACCTTTTTTCTTTCCTTATTAAGTTGAGAACGTCTACCTTTTTCATTTAAAGGAAGAACTTTATGGCTTCTCTTTGCTATATCCAAATTGCTAGCATCACTACTCTTACACTTTGGGGCCATTATTAAGTCAAATAAGGGTGACTTGAAAACAAGCACTGCAATACCATGGCAGTCAATCTGATAACCAACGGGGCACTTACTTAGTAAGTGACTAACCAACAGGGAGTGTGTACGGCATGAAGACGCTAGACAAAGGGACGATTCAGGTGGACAGAGCGGGACAGCACAAGACTTCATCATGCTACTCAGAATGGTGTGCAATTTAAAACGTACAGATGGTGCATTTCTAGAATTTTCCATTTAATATTTTTGAACAGTGGTTGACTGCATGTAACTGAAATCACAGAAAGCAAAACTGAGTTGGGGGCGGAGGAGGAAGGTGGCTGCAATAATAGCTTCTCCCTGTGGACCAGCTGTTACACAAAACACTTTTCATGTGTTATTTCCCATTGTTATCATAACACTCCACAACACAGGAACTCTTATTATCCCCACTTTATATAAGACAAATCTGAGGCCTAGAAAAAAACACAAATACATTAAAAAAAAAATCTGAGACCTAGAGAGGTTAAGCAATTTGCCTAACAGGCCAAACCTAATATTTGCAGGACTGGGGCAAGAGTACAGCTGAAGGCATACTTAAAAAGTTATAAATTACACTAATGAACTATTAAATAAGACAATCTATTTTGCTATGCCGATAAACAAACCTTCACAATTACCTGGAAGGCCACATTCACATTTTTGGGCCTCTGAGAGCTCTGTATTAAAAGGTGGTGGGAGGCAGAGAGCAGGACCCCAGCCCTGCCCCCTTCTCTTCATATCCCTAAATCTGTTTGTCTGGCAGGGCCTTGTGTCCATACATGCTGAGGTCCCAACCTGCATGCTCACACTCTGTTCGGGTCCCTCAGGTATCCACACAATGAATGACAAAAGAGCCACAGCAACGGACAACAAAAAGTATCACGTTGTAAAATACCAAGAGAAGATCTTAAAAAGTTCCAGAAATCAGGGTGGGGAGGAAACCCATACAAAGAATCCGGAGTCAGAAAAGCACTGTATTTATCAATGTTAGAAAACAAAAACAGAGGAATATCTTCACAATTATGAAAGAATTCTATTCACAGCCAAACTACTAATCAAATACAGTAGAATAAAGCCATTTTCAGTGCCACTTAACATGTATGGCAGCACAGTAGCCAGCCACTAAAGTGGCCTCTAATGATTTCTACCTCCTGGTATCTGCGCCCTTATGAAGTTCCCACACACACTGAATATGACAGAATGGCCAATATGGGACTTCTGGGGCTAGGTCATAAAAGACATCGGTGGTTTCTACCTTACTCTTAGATCACTTGCTCTGATGAGAGCCCACTGCTGTATCATGATGACACTCAAACAGTACTATGGTGAGGTCCACGTGGCAAAGAACTGGGGCCTCCTGCCAACAGCCTGTACAAATTTGCCAGCCGGGGCTCCTCCAGCCCTGGCCAAGCCTTCACATGATTTCAGGTGCATGAGAGACTCCAAGCCAGAACCACCCAGCTAGGATGTTCTCAAATTCCGAACTCAAAGAAACTGTGAGATGATAAATGTTAACTGTTGTTTTAAGCCAGAAGTTTGGGAATAATTTGTTACACAACAAAAGACAACTAAAACAGACCTATTGGGAGGGGAGGAGCCACAGTATTTTGTAGTTCTTCCAATCAAGAGGTGAAGTCTACAGTCTAGCTCTCCACTTCAGAATTTGGATTTGGCTGTGAAACTTGTTTTGGCTGATGGGTCATTATAGAAAGATTACAGAAACAAGGGTTAAAAGGTGCTTATGCTAATCCACAGGATCATGAGAATGAATCAGTGTTTGTTGTTTGAAAGAACAACAAACACTGTTTGAACAGTTGTGGTTTGAATAAAGCTATCAAGTTTTAGGGGTGATTTGTTACAGAGCATAAGCTAATTGATACAACATATTTACTTTGTGTGGACTTCCCTGCCTCAGCCTCCCCACCCTAACCAGGAAACTATGGATGTGTTTCAGGAACACTACATGATGTGTTCAAAGCCTGGTTACTTCCTAACTTTACTTGGTCTCAGGCAAGTTAATTTACCTCTTTCAGCCTCAGTTTTCCTCAACTTCAAATTGGAACAGTAGGTAATAGTACTTAACTCTTTTTTAAAAAAATTTTTATTTATTTATTTTGAGAGAGAGTCTCACTCTGTTGCCCAGGCTAGAGTGTAGTAGTGCCATCTCAACTCACTGCAACCTCTACCTCCTGGGTTCAAGTGATTCTCCTGCCTCAGCCTCCCAAGTAGCTGGGATTACAGGCATGTGGCACCATGCCTGGCTAATTTTTGTATTTTTAGTGCAGATGGAGTTTCACCATGTTGGCCAGGCTGGTCTCGAACTCCTGACTTCAAGTGATCCACCCGCCTCAGCCTCCCAAAGTGTTGGGGTTACAGGTGTGAGCCACCATGTGACAAATAATTGAGATGAACGACTTAATGTACTTAGCACAGAGTGCTCAAATAAATCATTAATGAAGGTAATAGGAAAAAAGTCAAAATAGGACAGTCTTTCCAGAGAAAGGCTACTGAGTTTATCAGTCAAGTAAATATTTATTACATGTTTGCCACATTCCAGATCCCTTACCTATAACTGTGACCTAAAAGCAGAAATAATTCATGACACTGAGCTATTTTGAATCAAAACTAAGCTTGCTTATTGCACAAGCAACGAAAGGAGGACATCAAAAAATATATATATATATATTTTTTTTTTTTGAGACAGAGTCTTGCTCTGTCACCCAGACTGGAGTGTAGTGGCACAATTACACCTCACTGCAGTCTCACCCTCCCAGAGTCAGGAGATCCTCCCACTTCAGCCCCCAACCCAGCTGGGCCCACGGGCATGAGCCATCACACCAGGCTAATGTTATTATTTCTGTAAAGATGAGGTCTCCCTATGTTGCCCAGGCTGGTCTCAAACTCCTGGGCTCAAGTGATCTTCCCACCTTGGCCTCCCAAAAGCACTGAAATTACAGGCATGAGGCACCACGCCTGGCTCAAAAATATTTTTGAGCGGAACTTGAAAAAAATGGATATATTGGTCTATATTTCACAAGCCCCGCTGAGCACTTCAGAGCCAGATGTGAAGGGAAGTGGGTAGCCAAGGTATCCCATAACTCTCTTTCTGTATCCTTTTCCCCACCAGGGAGTAGGAAAACAGTCTATCCTGAAAACAAAATTATTTCACTTCTAAACAGTGGCTTTTAATTATTTTGATCTCAACCCACAATATGAAAAACACATCATATTGTGCCTGAATACAAACTCAAAACTGAAACAAAAGTTTCATCAATTGAGACTTGAAATATGTGATACATTCTATTGTGTTGTGTGTGTGTGTGTTTAATGTTGGTCACAATCCTCTAAACAGATTTTAAAACCTATTGATAGGTCACAACCAGCTGTTTGAAAAAAGGACTCTGAAATATCACATGGGGGAGGAAACATAAAGATCATCTAGTCCAATCCCTTCACTTTACAGGCGGTGAACTGAGTCTCAGAGACATCAAGTCACTTGCCCAAGGCCACGCAGCTAGTAAGCGGCTATGCTTGGAGTTGACTTAATAACCATCTGGCTACTGAATGCCTATCATGTGTCAGACATTTGCTGAGGTTTTTTTTTTTTTTTTTTTTTGAGACGGAGACCCAGTCTGTCGCCAGGCTGGAGTGTGCAGTGGCTCGATCTTGGCTCACTGCAACCTCCACCTCCCGTGTGCAAGCGATTCTCCTGCCTCAGCCTCCCGAGTAGCTGGGACTACAGGCGTGCGCCACCACGCGCAGCTAATTTTTGTATTTTTAGTAGAGACGGGATTTCACCATGTTCGCCAGGACGGTCTCGATCTCCTGACCTCGTGATCCACCTGCCTCGGCCTCCCAAAGTGCTGGAATTACAGGCGTGAGCCACCGCGTCCGGCCTGCTGAGTTCTTTAATTGCATTGTTTAATACTCACTGTGATCCTATGAAACAGATATTATTCTGTCCACCTTACAGACGAGGGAACGGAGTCTCAGAATAGGGGAAATGACTGAAGTTGTAACAACGGCCAGTAGCAGACCAAGGACTAGTCTCTTAAGTTTGGCCATGCATAAAGCCCCGTGCTCTCAAGCTCTAACTCAGCTATCAAGAAAGTGGTTATGCAAATAGGCCTGGTAGCTCTTGACACCTAAGCGTGCGTATGTGGGACAGCGATAAGCTCCCGTTCTCCTGTCTCCAGGGCCTTGTCATTCCGCACGCTTTTCTCTATCAGCTCGCAAAGAAACGTGGCAGTCAAGGAAGAGAGCACAGTCTCCAGCCTCGAGGGGGAGGACAATTCGAATCAGAACACCCATTTAACCTCTCTGTCTTTCCGTTTCCACACCTGGGAAGCTAGGACAGCAGCAGCTTCCAGCGCCAGGGCTGAAGGAGTCAACAAGAACTCTGGTACGTGGGAGGCGCGCGTCTAACGTCAGTTCCGCCCGCCCCCGTCCCCGCCCCCGCCTTCTTCTCGGGCGCATGCGCCGCTTAGGGGCGCCTTTTACGACGCGGCGGACGCGGCGCGCTTGGCGGCCGGAGCTAAACTGAGCGGAGCCGGGCAGAGGTAGCGCGGCTAGCTAGCCAGGCTGAGAGGACGCGCAGGTGGCGGCGTCGCCATGTCGCACGGTCACAGCCACGGCGGGGGCGGCTGTCGCTGCGCCGCCGAACGGGAGGAGCCGCCTGAGCAGCGTGGCCTGGCCTATGGCCTGTACCTGCGCATCGACCTGGAGCGGCTGCAGTGCCTTAACGAGAGCCGTGAGGGCAGCGGCCGCGGCGTCTTCAAGCCGTGGGAGGAGCGGACCGACCGCTCCAAGGTGGGCCGCCTGGGGCCCGTGGCGGGGGGGGCGGGGTCCGCGTGGGGCCTTGGGCAGTCCGTGTACTCATTACTGGTGTTAAAAATAACGACACCCTGGTTGCCAAGCGCTTTTCCGTGCCTGTCTCCTGCCAGCTCTTTGGGAGGCGAGCATATAGGGAAACAGACCGAGAAGGAAAGGGAACAGTTTTGTCGCTACACAGTCTAACGCTCTATTCCAGGACTGTGTGGGTTAGAGAGGATGACGGTGAGGGCCATTGGTCCTAATGGCTGCCTCCTCATGTCACCTGGCGAAGACGAGCTAGGGAGATGAAAGGTGTTTCCCGTGCAGAGCAAAGGTTCTTTACATTGTGGGGTCGGTCGCAGGCCCCATTGCTATCTATTTGAAAGCAATGGACCTTCTCCCCAGAAAAATGCACATTAAGCACCTACCTTTCAGTTCACACTTCAGGAGGCTTTTCGACCCTTGACATTTATTCCTGGGGTTTTTATTAAGAACCTTCCAGTTGGATGGCCTGTGGCTGTTAGGACACTGGATGAGACTGATTAGCTTCAAGTTAGTAAGTTTTGGAAAACCAAGGGAGAGTGACTATTCCCATTGCACCCCAGTTGTAGAACAGGGTGGGAGATGCCTGAAATTGTAGGCTCTCAGCAAATATTTGTTGCTTTCTCCTCCCCCCTCCCCATCCCCTCCAGTTTGTTGAAAGTGATGCAGATGAAGAGCTTCTGTTTAATATTCCGTAAGTATCTCCCTGGTGCCTACCTCAGGCTGAATAGGCTGTGCCCAGTTGCCTCCTCAGATGGATTCCTTCACTGGTTGTGTCAAGAGCACACATTTGCTTCTAGAAACGGGATAACTTACTTAGGTGGGTTTGAGGAGAAAAGCATCATAGCTTTTTTGGTGCAGACTGGAAACAGATGTATTTGTTGACCAATACCTGAGAAATCGAGGTAGATTTCTTAGAATTGTAGAATGCTAGAGGTAGACAGGATCTTAGAAATTATGTAGTACAGTTTGACAGATGAGTAAACTGAAGCCCATACAGGGGAAGGGTCCTTCCCAGGGTCACACAACTAAACAGGTATTCAAACCCAGGTTGACAACCTTCTTTTTTGCATTCTGGCAGATTTACGGGCAATGTCAAGCTCAAAGGCATCATTATAATGGGAGAGGACGATGACTCACACCCCTCTGAGATGAGACTGTAAGTGGCAAAGGCTTAGGTCCTCAAGGAGCTCCTAACTCTCTCTCTTTCCGGTAACATTTTATTCCAGAATAGTATCATTTTTCTTCTTACTGGGTTTAACATTTCCCCTTTTAAAATGTCTTGATCCTGTTCTCATTCTGCATTGGAATACACATATTTCTTCCTGAATTAATGGGTTTTTTAGATTAAGCATTTTTAGCCCCAATAGCTTGTCTCATATTTCAAAGCACTTACTATGACACGATTCATTCAGAGAGCATTGTGTAAATGTCATTTGTTGATGATTTTGCAGTTTTTTTAATAACTAGCTGGAGATCTTATATGATCTTTATGGAGTCTATTCTTGGGGTTAGCTTCAACATTTTTCCTTGCTATTTCATACAGTAATGGTCTTAGCCTGTCTTTTATTGACATAGAATTACTCCACCTGAATTTGTGTGGTATTTAGTTAGCAAAGTTGTGTATACCTCTTGCAACACTGAATCTTTTGCCACCAGAGCTAGTATTCTTTTTGGCAGCTTACCTTATTCCAGGACAGCCTTCCTAAAAGAAAGGGAAAACTGCTTTTTGAGTGTTGGAGAAACATAAAAGAAGAACTTTACATTTAAAAATTTCAGGCCAGGTGCAGTGGCTTATTCCACAAAACCAATAAAAGATGATAAATAGGGCGGGCATGGTGCCTCACACCTGTGGGAGGCTGAGGCAGGCGGATCACCTGAGGTTAGGAGGTTGAGACCAGCCTGGCCAACCTGGTGAAACCCTCTCTGTACTAAAAAGACAAAAATTAGCCGGGCGTGGTGGTGTGCACCTGTAATCCAGCTACTAGGGAGGATAAGGCAGGAGAATTGCTTGAACCTGGGAGCCAGAGGTTGCATTGAACTGAGATCTGACCACTGCACTCCAGCCTGGGTGACAGAATGAGACTCCATCTCAAAAATAATAATAAAAATTCAAATCCCAGCACTTTGGGAGGCCGAGGCGGGTGGATCACTTGAGGCCAGGAGTTCAAGATCAGCCTGGCCAACATGGTGAAAACTGTCTCTACTAAAAATACAAAAATTAGCTGGGCACAGTGGTACACCCCTGTAATCCTAGCTACTGGAGAGGCTTAAGCATGAGAATCACTTGAACTGGGGAGGTTCAGGTTGCAGTGAGCCGAGTTTGTGCCACTGCACTCCAGCCTGGGCAACAGAGCTGTGTCTCAAAAAGAAAAATTTTTTTTCATCTGAAAAATTGATCAATTTAAGTGGACTTTAGAGAGATTTAAGATAGTGATACTGGCTGGGAACAAGTGGCTCATGCCTGTAATCCTGGCACTTTGGGAGGCCAGGGATACATAAAATTAGCTGGGCATAATGGCAGGCACCTATTATGCCAGCTACTTGGGATGCTGAGGCAGGAGAATCACTTGAACCCAGGAGGCAGAGGTTACAGTGAGCCAATATCGTGCCTCTGCACTCCAGCCTGGGTGACAGAGTGAGACTGTCTCAAAAAAAAAAAAGACTATAGTTGAATATTAGAAACATGAATTTGAAAGCAAATCCATGTATTTAATCATTTTAAGGAAATAGTACCTTTGATCTGATGCTTTTGGAGCTTGAAAGCTGATGGACTGACCTAAGAATATTAGATATCCATGCTGCATTGTGATTTAGAGGGTGGGCTCTGGTGTAAACTGGGTTCAAATAATGGCTGTACACTTGCTAGCTTCATGACTTTGAGACCTTGCTTAGCTTCTCTATGCTTCAGTTTTCTCATATGTAACATGGAAATGGTAACAGTGTATACCTCAGATTGTGGAGAGGCTTAAATGAGTTATAACATGTAAAGAGTTTAGATTAGGTCTGGAACATAGTAAGTGCCCAATTTTGGTTGAACAGACACAAATACATAGCCCTCAGTTCTTTTATTTTATACAACAGTGGGGCTGATTGAATGGATTGCATAGCCCTCAGTTCTAAGCACACTACATATATTATACTTTGTCAAATGTAAGATGTCATTAATTGCAAAATGTACCATTATTTTATATACAAGTAATACAGAAAAACAATTCAACTATGACATGCTATTGACACATCCAGAAAAGTCAGATTGAGAGTATTAAATCAGGGAAATTTGAACACAGATGAGGTGTAACGTATTTAAAAGATTACCATTCAGCTGGGCGCGGTAGCTCATGCCTATAATCTCAGCACTTTGGGAGGCTGAGGCCAGCAGATCACCTGAGGTCAGTTCAGGACCAGCCTGGCCAACATGGCAAAACCCCATCTCTACTGAAAATACAAAAATTAGCTGGGTGTGGTGGCAGGCACCTGTAATCCCAGCTACTCAGGAGGCTGAGGCAGGAGAATCACTTGAACCTGGGAGGTCGAGGTTGCAGTGAGCCAAGATCACACCACTGCATTCCAGTGCGGGCGACAGTGCAAGACTCTCTCAAAAATAAATAAATAAAATAATTACCATTGGGCTGAGTACAGTGGCTCATGCCTTAATCCCAGCACTTTGGGGAGGCCAAGGCCAAAGAATCACTTGAGCCTAGGAATTAAAGGTTACAGTGAATTAAGATCATAAAATCATACGCTGTCCTCTAGCTTGGGGAACAGAGAAAAGCTTAAAAAATATATATATTTTTATTTATATATTTTGAGATGGGGCCTCACCTTGTCACCTGGGCTGGAGTACAGTGTTGCAGTCATAGCATACTGCAGCCTCAGTCTCCTCAGCTCAAGCAGTCCTCCCACTTGGGAAGCAGCTTCCCAAATAGCTGGGAATACAGATGTGTGCCACTATGCCCAGCTAATTTATGTATTTTTTTTTTACAAAGATGGGGTTTTGCCATGTTGCCCAAGCTGGTCTTGAACTCCTGGGCTAAGCGGTTGGCCCACCTCAGCCTCCCGATGTGCTGGGATTACAGGAGTGAGCCACTGCACCCAGCCAAAAAAAAATTAAAAAAGAATTGCTGTTAATTTTATTTTTTTGACACTGTCAATCGTAAAATGGTATTACATCCACCCCGCTCCCGACCTTTTTTTTTCGAGATGAGGTCTCACTCTGTCACCCAGGCTGGAGTGCAGTGGTGTGGTCTTGGCTCACTGCAACTTCTGCCTCAGCCTCCCAAGTAGCTGGAATTACAGACGCCTGCCACCAAGTGTGGCTAATTTTTGTATTTTTTATAGAGATGGGGTTTCGCCATGTTGGCCAGGCTGGTTTTGATCTCCTGACCTCAAGTGAGCTACCATGCCCAGTCTAAAAGCCCTTTTTAGAGGTACATACTGGAATACACACACACACACACACCCCCCTACCTCAAGAGGTACATACTAGAATACACACACACACACACACACGCGCGCACGCAACCTCTGCCTCCTGGGTTCTGATAGGAAAAATCTACATAATGTCAATCATTGAAGATAAGTGAAAAGTATGTGGAGATTCATTCATATGTTCTCTCTACTTTTGTATAAGTTTGAACTTTTCCATATTGAAGTTTTTAAAATATATGCATCATTTAGAGTTGATTCAGTTTCATCTCCATACCAATTGTGTGGAATACGTACTATTACTATTCCCATTTTACAGATGAGGAAACAGAGGTTAAATCAGGTGCCCAAATTTACTCAGCTGGTAAGTGACAGAGCCAGGCTTGAAACCCAGAAAGTCTAGCTCTAGATTTTAACTACAGTTCTATACTGCTTCTCATTATTCTGCTCATAAATGTTCACTGTTGTTATTATTCTGTGGTGCGTCATTCTTAGAAACACTTTGAAGTAAACATTTGCTTTCTTAAATTACATGCATTTGCTCCAGCTAATATCTAGGCCTCTTCTGTGTGGGTGTGTTAATAAAACATCCTGGAGTTGGTGGGGATATGTGGCTTAGTCTTTGAGAATTTGTGGGTTGTAGAGACATCTGCTTTTTAGATTACCTTTTTTTTTTTTTTAATAGAGATTTTCACTTTGGTGGCCAGGATGGTCTCGATCTCCTGACCTTGTGATCCGCCCACCTCAGCCTCCCAAAGTGCTAGGATTACAGGCGTGAGCCACTGTGCCCAGCCTAGATTATTCTTTCAAAAACATTTTCTTCTCTAGCATTTTACTTTTTATTTATTTTGAGGCGGAGTCTCACTTTGTTACCCAGGCTGGAGTGCAGTGTCACGATCTCAGTTCACTGCAACCTCTCTAGCAGTTTAGATGTGAGGTTGCAGTCTTTCATGTTCTTTCAAAATGGAAACCCTCAAATTGTTTTCTGGAATTTTTTTTTTAAGAACTGTAAGGTGACTGAGTATATGGTGTAGTTTTTGGACACAAAAAAATGCTTGAGCATTAGGTTACGTGATCTTTTATCTCTTAACTGTGTGTAGTATGTTTCTGCCAAAGTATGCATTTTTCCCATGAGTAAGCTGTTTTATTTAATAACATCCTCAGTTTGGTCTGAATGTGCTGAGTTATTTATTTTCTCCATGCATTTGCTGCATGTGACCTAGTTTGAGCCGTCTCTTTGTGTATTGCTTCTCATGTGATATTAACCCACTCAAAGATTTCACAGAGTTATGTTGCAGATCTCAGCTCTTTTTTTGTTAGATTAAAGGTATTCGTAGTCTGGGCATGGTGGCTAATGCCTGTAATTCCAGCACTTTGGGAGACTAACATGGTGGATCACCTGAGGTCGGGAGTTTGAGACCAGCATCACCAACATGTTGAAACCCTATCTTTACTAAAAGTACC